TAAGATGTTTTATAGATGGCACTTACTTACATCCTAAAAAATTGGCTTGTATGTATCCGAATTTACAACCTAAATGCTGGAGATGTGATTGCGTTGATGCTACGTATTACCATATATGGTGGACTTGTAAAAAGGTTAAAGCATTCTGGATAAAAATATGGTGGATTATGCAAAATATTCTTAAAAAGAGGATAAAATTTACTCCTCAGTTATTCCTGTTAGGTATAATTACAGACTGTACAGTTATAGAGACTAATATGATTTTGAACCTCACAACGGCAGCACGACTATTGGTGGCGCAGTACTGGAAGAAGGAAGAATTACTTACTATTCAAGAATGGACACTAAAAGTAACAAACTTAGCAGAGATGGCTAAAATATCAGCATATTTTAAGGACCACTCAGATGAGAAATATAAGCTGGAATGGAGAAGATGGATTGCCTATATTCAGAATAAATATGGGACTAAGAAATTCCAGATAGCTTATGACTGAATGAGCAAGGAAGGATACAATTTGCTTAAGGTTAGCTTTACAAAAGGGGAGTTAAAGTACAAAGTGAGGGATGATGCTAAAGTCTGTTAGCTTATTTTAGAATATGTATGTTAATGTTTATACCCTGTATTTGCTCTGGGAGGTTGGGGGGGAGCTGGGGGGGAGGGGAGGCATATATTTGTAAAACCTTTTAAAAAAAAAATTCAATAAAAAAACCAATATCCTGCTATGACCTCTAATGTCTCTCAAGAACTAAGCAGTGTGGCTGCAACAACACCCCTGAGCTAAGTTTTCCTCTGAGCAGAGTGCCATTTATGAGCCACTATGGCACAGTGGTTAGAGTGCAGTACTGCAGGCTACTTCTGCTGACTGCCGGCTGCCAGCAGTTTGGCGGTTCGAATCTCACCAAGTTCAAGGTTGACTCAGCCTTCCATCCTTCCGAGGTGGATCAAATGAGGACCCAGACTGTTGGGGGCAACATGCAGGCTCTGAAAAGCTGCTTAGAGAGGGCTATAAAGCGGTTTATAAGTCTAAGTGCTATTGCTATTTAAGGGATTCCAATCCATAAGAGGAGTGCCGGCAGTTAAGCCATCATTCCACATGACAAAAGATTGAAAACCTTGTTTCTGAATGATCCAGACTGTCGTCTCAAGGAAACGCAGCCCCAGTTCAAGATCTGAACCAACTTGCATTGGGAGATAAAAACAAAATCTTGGTAATTGTAGAACACAAATAAATACATTGTGTACTTTTTCTTCTCCTTCAGGTGAAGAAAGCAAAGCCTTTTCTTCCTGTTCTGGGGTCGGCTCAGCGTCTCCAGATATGAGTTTGCCAAAGACCTGTTTCAGAGGAGAAATAAAATACTGGAATAAGACAGACATGCTGTTTCTTTTTTTTTTTTCATGTGGAAATGTTTGCAATTTTAAAAATATTTCTTTACTATCCTAATGCTCCATTATCTCCTAAGGCGGGTCAAGTCTTAGGACCACCCTGTTACTATGGAATATGCAGAAATTCCCCGCCAAGGAGAGCCAGGTATTTAGCTCCTTCTGGGCCGAAGACTGAGGTTAATCTGGAGAGTCAGAGGAGAGGTAGAGGTGTGGCCTCAAGATTTACCTCAGTCTCCGGGCAGATGGGCCGTGACAATACCCAGTTGTGACTCTTCCCACGCCCCACTTCGGAGACTAACTGTGTGTGTGTGTGTGTATAAATAAATGGCTGTTTGTGTGCGTGCATGTGTGTGTGTTCCAGGATAACTCTGGAATGCCTTGAGCAATTTCAACCAAACTTGGTGCACAAGTTTTTTTTTTCTCTGGAAAAAAAAATACTGTGGGTAAGACACCCCTAACACCTGTGTGTGTGTGTGTCCCTGGCATGCAGAACACACAATCCATCAGCCCAGCTCAGCTCCACCGCGCATGTGTGCGTGCCTCCTGCCAATCAAATGATTTTCAGGTCTCTGCCATGCATGTGTGGGGTGTGTGCGCGGGGGTGCAGGGGTGCAGGGTCACATGCGCATGCACAGGGTGCAGGTGGAGTACAGGGTGCGGGTGGAGCACAGGGTGTGTTGGCATGATCCCCCCCTCCCCCGTGGCCCAGTTTTGCTCCAAGAAGGCTGCAGGGAGGCCTACTAGGCTCCAAATGCAGGGAGGGAGGGGGTTGTTGTGCGTGCATACACTATAGATATACTTCATTTTTTTTCCTGCCTAATACAGGATTAGGATAAATAAATAAATAAATAAATAAATAAATAAATAAATAAATAAATAAATAAATAAATAAATAAATAAATACATACATACATACATACATACATACATACATATATACATACATACATACATACATACATACATACATACATACCGGGCAGGTTATCAGCTAGTCTGAAATAAATAGTCTGTAAACCACTTAGAGAGGGCTGTAAAGCACTGTGAAGTGGTATATAAGCCTAAGTGCTATTGCTATTTCCAGATTCCTATTATTAGAGGCTGTCTGGTGCAGGCCTCGCATTAAAACATGCACATTCTTCTCTTGTGCAGTTTGTTTAAAGTTGAGAAGAGATTTCACACATTACCTAGCTAAGATGAAGATGGAAAATGGTGAAGAATGAATTGGGGAAAAGACATCTGAAGTAGAAACCATTTTAAAGATCTAAAGTAAACCAAGAAGCAGCAGAATCAAGTGTTAGGTATCCATTTTTTTTCCCCAAGGGACTCAGATGGACTCAAATGGAACTCCTCTAAACTAAATTCCACCACAAACCTGTCATTCTGTTCAATATATTCTTTAGGAAGGGGCAAAAGAAATGTGAAAAAGAAAGATAGGATTCCTAAGCCATTTCTACCTACGGGGTGACAATCTTGCTTTTTTTTTAAATGAAGGCTTGAGTATTGCATTGTGCTCTTCACACAGCCTCACCTGTGATGTGATAAGCCTGAAAACTCGCAGCGTCTCAGCCTCACAGCTTCTTTGTTGAGCAACACTTGCTGAGATCTGGCCGGCTATTTTGATGCTTTCACCATCTTTCCAACCGAGCACTTTCACCTGCCGAACTCGGAGGGTATTTTCTGGCCCCTTTAACTCAATTTTGAGGATGTGATTGTCTCCACCGGGAAGTTCACTAGTTACCCAGCCAATATGTCTTGAGTCCAAGTCAACCTAAAACGCAGGAATAGAAAAGAAAGTTGGTGTAGACCATAAGAACATAACTGCGTAACTTTGAAACGGAATGGTTCAAAAATAAAAATTAAGGGTAAAGCCGCAAGATCTGACTTGGAAAAATATGAATGACCACTAGATGGCCACAAATACTTAAGAGTTTCTCTACCTCTTTGCTACCACCTAGTGGCTGACCCAATTTCTGCAGCCAAGAGTTGAAATTGTCACATCCACGCACCACCATCACAGGCTAAAAGGATGAGTTGATGTTAACACATGTGAGAATTGCACTTGATTTGAAGCATTTGCTTGAAAGTAAACAATAGAAAAATACACAGGCAAATCAGCACTAAATCAAAACAGTATTATTATGTCCTCCAGTTACTGAGACCTGGACATTTAAAATTAGAATGGTTACATTACTTTTGCAGCTCCTAATCTTTTTGTACAAGGACAGATGGAACACAAATGACTAAATACAAGAGGACAGATCTTCTATCTTTTCTTTCTTGCAATGTCAGAATAAAGGATAATGAAATGATGTCCAAGTTCTTAAGAAAAGTTCATTAAACAGAATGTTAAATACATAGATTTTAGTCATTTAAGATGCTTTGTTATTACTCTGAATGGCATAGGTAAGCTACCTGTTTTATTCTGCAAAGATCTTCTACTGCTTTTCCAGTCAAAAATGTCATTGAAGTCACTTTGTTCTAGATATGAAACAAAAAAATAAAAATAAAAGCCAAGCATGCTAAGTTTCTGAATTGATTTTAATATCAACAGTTTAAAATAAAAGGGAGGCAGAGAGAATAGACTTTGCTTGGTATAGCAATTCAGACACCAGGCTAGAAATTGGCAGACTGTGAGTTCTAGACCCATTTTGGTTAAGCAGCCAATTGAGCCAGCCCATCTTTCTCAGCCCTGGGAAACATGCAATGGTAAACCTAAAAACCTTGCTTTTTCAAGAGGCAACTGGACTTTCTGAGTTTTTTTTTTCTTTGAAGATGTTTTGCTTCTCTCATCCAAGAAGCTTCAGAGCTGAAAGGTCTTAACCCCCCTCCCCAAGAATCCAGTTGCCTCTTGAAAAAGCACCTTTGGGACAACCATAAACTGGATGACTGAGAATCTGCATAAATGCGCAATGCCAAATCACTTCTGAAATCTTACCAAGAAAATTGTTCAGACAGTTCAGACTGGGAGTCAATACAGACTTAAAGGTGAAAAAGAAAAAAGACAGCCCCCCCCCAAACCCCATACAAAAAGTATTGTTTTAAAGTATTTTTATCTCACTCACTCACTTTGCTCCATTAAAGTATTGCCATCTGGCTTATTATATGAATTTATAACAATAACTTGAAATGCCTTGCTTTTCTAGACCCATAGCTTTAATTCACCCTCTAATGTCCAAATGGACATGTCAATATTACTCTTCTTTTGATTGGAAATAGTGCTTACCCCGAGGTCTCTTGAATTGTCTACGTGAACAGACACATAGCGAGCATTTATTCCTTTCATGCAATTAATTGTAATGTTTTTGGTTTTATTCTTGTCTTCATCGCCCGATTCCCAGAAGGTTTCGGTTGACCCATCTGTCAAACTACCAATCATGGCTGGTCGGCTCGAAGTTTTTATATCAACGATGTTAGTTAAGTCCTTCAGGCAGACTACTATACATGATTCCTATCAAAACATATAAATTTCACAGTTAAATATGCTATTATGGCTTAAATTAATTTAATAAAGTAATGTAAAATCTTATAATCAACGTTACTGATTATGCTTTGGTCCTCCCACCTCTTTTACTTATTCCTTTAAATCAGTCTGGGCAAACAGCTCAAGCTGCACCCACTTGGAGCCAAATCAACATTTTGATCTTTTCTTTATACCAGAAATCAGCCCTTTGAAGAAACCATTTTGAGCAGGTGTTCTCTGGCAGCCATGGATTCTCATTGGCTGCTGTCACAGTAACCCGGAAAATCAACTCGCCTGATTCAAAGCTTCAAAGCCAGACTGGATGCTAATGCTGAAGCTCTCCTCGCTGTCTCCATCATCAGATTTGGAGAGAATGTTGTTGATGTGATGAAAAACGTTGCTCTGATGCAAAAACTGATGGTCGGATTGCTTGAATTTGAGGCTCCAGCATCTGAATAAGAAGGCCATCATTATGACTTTTCCATTTCAAAGCTTCCAAAGATATATCCTTCCTCATCGCATAGCAATTAAACACAGCCCAGGTCAGCAGAAACCAGCACCAGTTATACAAGAACAATCAAAGAAGAGCCAAAATCAACATCCAGACTGGTGGATTAGCTCCCACCTATCCACCCTGCACTGATGAACTTACCTGCCCGGCAATGAAATGTCTGCAGGAAGAGAAGTGAGTTTAGAGACCACCAAGCACCGAAGAATTTAACCCTGAGCTGCCCAGATTCTGCCCAGATTGCAAGTAGACTTGGGAGAAGCAAAATGCTCAGGTTGTTTGTAGTGTTTTCCCTCCTCCCTCTAATGAGTGGGAATAAAATAACCAAATTCTCCCCAAAAGTCTCATTGTGGCAACATGGGCTGCAAAAATAATTCATAATAAAATAATAAAATAAATAATAAAATAAATAATAAAATAATTAATAAAATAATAAAATAATAAAATAATAAAATAATAAAATAATAAAATAATAAAATAAATAATAAAATAATAAAATAATAAAATAATAAAATAA